TCTATGGCTCTTGTTTCCTTATCCGTAAAGGGAAGATACTGAAAATTAGGTATAACTCACTGAAAATAGTGCCTGGCACATAAAAAGTGCTCAATAAATCACTTTTTATACAGGTTTTAATATTACCAGTATTGTTTTGTGTATTAAAATTCAATGGACAGTACTGCAACTCAAACTAACTTGAGGACGGAGGGAGGGAGGGAGGAAGGAAAAGAGGAAAGGGGGGAAGGAGGAAGGAAAAATTATTGGTGTACATAACTAGAAAGTCCAGTGGATAGATCTGCTTCAGGTGCAGCTGCATTGAGGGACTCAGACCATGTAATCAGACACATTACTGTTCATCTCTATTGCTTCCCTCCTCTCTGGTGGCAAAATGGCTGTGGGCAGGTTCAGTCTCACATCCAATCCTCTCAGTAACTCAAGCAGAAAATTCAACCCTCTTTTTCAACAGTTCCAACAAGAATATTGTGTATTGGCTCAGATTGGCTTGACTTAAATCACGTGTCCATCCCTCAACCTATCTCTGTGGCCTCAGGCATGCAATGATCTGGTTGGCCAGGTCAGGGTCATGTGCCCATCCCTGTAGCTGAGAGCGAGGGAGATAGTATCTTAAGGAAGATTATGGTGCAGTTATCAGAAGAAGGGTGATGGATGCTGGCCAGGCAAAAACAACCAATGTTCACTGCAGATTATAAACTCCTTGAGGGCAAGGATATCATCTTATATATTTTTTGTCTGCCAAGTTTCCTGGTGCAATAGTAGGTAAACAATATTGGCTGAGTTACAGGGAACTCTGCCAAATGCCCTGGGAGACCTTCTAAGGAGGGTTCAGCTGCCCCTCTGAGGGATGACCATCTGGTAACATGACAGCCCCACCACATTTCTGCTTGACTTTCTCCTCTACTAACTTAAGTCTCCAGAATCCATGCTCTCTTCCCCTGCACTTATGGGGTGGAATGGAATAAAACAAACCAATACCTATGCAGGTGGTGACCTGGGATACTTAGAGAAAGGTAAGGTCCAGAGGCTTTCTAATTTTGCCAAGTGCTTTATGCACATTGTCCCAAGAGTATCCATATGGGAATATAATGGATCTCTTGGAGTAAACGCATTCATTGCTGGGGGTTTGGAGGAGGGAATTCATGCATTGGAAAGGGGTCAGGCTAAAAAGGAATTTCTCCAAATCCATGATTCGATGGCATTATTTTCTGTTTCTTTTGAGTATGCAGATCATAGGCAGTGTTACCACTTCTTATTTTATGCAAAGAAGTTGAAGATTAAGATTATTTGGTGACAGTATTTCAGGGAAAGGCAGTTTACTCTTATACCTTCCCCACGGGCAGGCATGGATGGTTCTGGGTGAGGTGAATCTCTGTGAGACTTCTCTTAGTGGAGAACTGATTACTCCAAGCCTCTAGCGGCTTCCATTCAACTCATTTGTTTACGTATTGCCCTTGTCTGATACAGCGAGCACTGCACTGGCTGGTGGGGTTAATGGTTGTGATAGAGGATAGTTAGAGGCCTGAGTGCTCCTGCTGCTATGTCACTGGCTTTGAAGGAAGCTGGTTTCTTTTTCAAGGTTGTACACTGGCAAAATTTGGAATTGTAGAAAACAACTCAAATCTTCAATACTCCGCTTAGTCCGTGTTTAGCTGTACTGTGCTATCCTGTAAATACAAACCAAACTAAATCAAATAACTTGACCCAACCACCTCGATGAAAACCGTTTATTAAACACACAGAGTGGGGAATGTGGGGGAAATGAAGGGGGGAAATGGAGAGAAATGGTTTTAGTGACTCTTCCTTTTACATGAGTAGTTTTTAAACTTTAGGGCATTTTCATTTCTGTTTAAATGCAAGTAGAGAGTATTTAAGCTGAAAGATTTGTTTGGGGTTGTTTTGAGGAACAAAGAAGCCAATCAAGTGTTAATAAAGAAGATAATTATCAGTTAGTAATTTCTGGTTAGGAGTCATCTCCACAAGGTGTTCTGTTCCTTAATATTAGGTAAACTGTGTGTTACATGACCCTGTGGGCTGTGTTTTCAATGAAAAAGAAAAGATTAGACTGCATGTAATGTTCTAAAGTGTAAGCATTGTTTCTTTTTATATTTGTAGTTGTGTCTGCCTGTGAGTGTGTGTTGATACTGGTTTGTGTTATGTATATTTTACTGTCATGGTCAAAAAAAGTGGGAAGCATTTGCCCTATCCTGTAATGACTCTGGAGAGATGTTCTAATTTCCCGTATTTCTGAGAATTTCTTTGATGTGTGAGTGATGCGGACCACACTGCTTACTGGGGGATGTGCTGCAACTGGCAAGAGCTTGTGAAATTGATTTCCTCCCCAGACTTGTAGCTCTGCAGCCCAGTCTTAATTTGTTTAAATAAAGATGGAGTAGGCAGGTGAAAGACATTGATGCCCATAATAAGATTAAATTTGTGGGAGCTGGCAAGAAGGCATGCTCTTTTTTGAAAGTGATAATGGAGAAATTAGGGAATATTAGATTAGTAAATTTGGAGGAGTGCCCTTATTGGAAAGAAAGATCCAGATGCAGGAAATTTGGGGTATGTGGGAAGGCTGCTGTGGTAATATAATAAGGATATTACTGATTAGTGAAGGAAGGCCCCTCTGGGAAGATGCCCTATTTCATTAGGAAAGCACATTGATAATGCACCTTGCTAAGGGTTGAATTGGAAAAAAGAACCACAGAACAAAACCAAAACATGTTTTATTTTCTTTCTTGTCCTAGGTCTCTACAGGTGAGCCTTCTGAGAAGGACGCACTGCAGCCAGGCCGGAACCTGGTGGCTGCTGGCTATGCGCTCTATGGCAGTGCCACCATGTTGGTCCTGGCCATGGAGAATGGTGTCAACGGCTTCATGCTGGATCCGGTGAGAAGCCCTGTGGGAGGTTAGGTGCTTGTTTGATGGCTGTGAGTGAGTGATGCGTGTGTGTGTGTGTGTGTGTGTGTGTGTGTCTGTGTGTGCAGAGGTATGTAGAGTGGGAAATGAGGCCTGTGGAGGGACAGAGATGATGGGGTGGGGAAGGGGGGGTCACAGAAATGGAGGACAGTGTGTACGTCATAAGAATATTACTGAGGTGAGAAATAATATATGTCCAGAGCATAAGAGGGGGTCTTTGTTCCAAGATGCAATCTTTAGAACAGACATTACTCAACTGACTCAAGTGCCCATCAAAGCCAGGCAAGCCTTATAAGGGAGTAAAGTGTGCTGGGGAAGGCAGGTCAGGGGCGATGGTGGGACTGTGGTGAACTGGAGAGATCCAGCAGTTGTTACTATTCAGGAATGAGGGCCCAGTCTGGCCAAGGCTTTCAGTATTTAAGAAACACTGGCTTTTTAAAAAATGAATGTTTCTATATTGGTAAGCCCACTAAAACACATGTATGGACCAGATGGGGCCTGTAGATGGTCTGTTTACCACCCACTATATCTATTACTAGCCTGAGGTGAATGGGTGTCCCAACATAAGCAGTGAATTGCATTGTTTCTTCAGCAATAGCCACCAAATTTGTTTGTTGTACACATGCTCGCAACCCTTCAATTAACCCTTGTAGCTTTGACAAGGCTTTGATGAACTCAGTAATGTGAACATAAAGAAGGAAATGAAGATAATTCCTTACTCCACCTTATAGAGAAAAGCTACCTTATGGACAGGAGCCCAAGGTGCCATGAAAAATATTCATTCGCAGTTTTAATTTGTGGATAATTTCTTCTACATGCCTATTAATTGGAATTATGTATTTGTTCAGTGAGATGACAGTTTCAACAGAGCAGACAAATTAAGGAAAGGAGTCTCTTTAAATATTCGGTGCACCTAAACCCACCATTGAATATAGACCCAATAGAGTAATCTTCAATAGGTTGCCATGTTCATTATGTGTTTGGTCCATAATGAACCATAATGAAAAGAGCTGGGTTTACAAATACCTTTTGGTTTTAGAAATGTCCTCGGATGACATTATGAAACACATTATTTATTCAGTGCTTTTTGCTGACCAAGTGAACACAAGGACAAGCAGCTGCTGGAATCCTGTGGGAGACAGGGTGCTGGTGGTGAGGCCCTGGGTTTGTGCATGGCAGGTCCTACCAATGGAAATGCAGGCTGCCTTTGTCCCCACACTCTTGCACAACTGGACTTTGCCTCCTTGGAAATACTGGAGCTTAATAAATAAACAAGAGTGGGGAACAGCACTCATTTAAGCCTCCAAAAGAGGTGCCCTCAGGGAAAGCAGTGGCAGAATCAGAGCATGGTTCATTGGAGCCCAGCGTACAGTTTCTGAAAGTACTGATGAGTGCTGATTTGTCATCTTGCCAGACACTTCCTGCTTCCCTAGACATTCTCCTGGTGACTTCTCTGTTGCCTTTGCACTGATGGACGTGTAGAAAAAAATTAAATCTCTTCTTGTTTCCAGATTGCAGACTGCTGTCTCTGGGAGTAAGTTTCTGTGTATTTGATAGTCCTTGCCCTCCTCCCACCTAATGGCCACTCAGTATTTGCAAGAACAATGAAGGCTCGCTGTAACATGCCCCTGCTGCCTGCCCTCCTGAGGTCTGACCAACCCTCTGCTGGCTGATGCCTGCAGGGGTGAGTCATGGACCAGCTTCACATTTTCTTTTCATTTTTGTCTTGCTTCAAGGATAGGCTGAGGGTTTCTGCTGAAATGACCCAACAGCTCTATTTGCATTTCTAGCAGCCTTTAACTTTCAAAAAGCTTTTCAGTCTCCTGCCCATGTACAGGAGACTTCCCTCCTCCACATCCTGGATACTCTGGCCAGGTACCTGGGTGGGGTGTCTGCAAAGCATAGCTTCATGAGGTCTGCAGCATGTGTTGTGTGATGGCTTCATTTTCCAGGCTTTCATGGTAAAAATATTTATTTATTTATTTATTTATTTATTTTTCTGGCTATAAAAGACTATTTCTACATATTCCTGTTCAAAATGTTTGGAAATAGCAAAAAAGCATAGAAGAAAAAAAAGAAGAATCACTCACAATGACACCTTTCAGTGACTGCCGTTAATTCTAGTCTCTTTTTCTCCCCCTTCCCCCCTCCCCCCTCCCTCTCCCCCGCTCTAGTTCCAGCACGCTCCATATGGCCAGGAACTAATCTTTGCTATGGAGATAAATGGTATGGAGGAGATGTATTGATTGGGCTTCCTTTTTCTTAACTCTTGCCTCCATGGAGCAACTCCCCTCCCCAGATGGGCAGAGCCTCAATCACCCTCGTATCAGTAACACTCAGGAGTCCCACATTTTCCCTCCAAATTTTAGTCTCATTTGAAGAAGCTAAGCCCTAAAGGTTCAGCTTAGCACTGGGACTTTGAAGAAGAGAGTTCCAAGAAACATTTTGCTCAGTGAACAAGGTACCTAAAGCTATATGTGCTGTGACTCAAAACTCAGCGTTCTGTATACAAAAGGGAAACGCGATCAAGATAGAAATGGAAAGCTGAGAACAGCCCTGATCACGTCAGTGTAACTCAGTTGTCCATCTCTCCTGATACATCACGTCTGCACCAACTTTTTTTTTTTTTGAATGGCATACACATCTTATGCTGCTCTGGATACAATTCTTATTCTCCCTCAGGGTTTGCTGCTGTTTTACTATTCCTGCCCTCTGTATTTTCAATGCTTTCTTTTTTCTTTTACTGAAACCACTTGAAAACAAAGTCAAAAGTCTCCTCTATCCCCTGACAATGTCTGCAGCAGCCGCTCGTCTTCCCCCTGGTTCCTTTTCACGAGTCTCACCAGTGACTCCTCCTTCACCCTGGCCTGTTCATAGTTCTTGGAGAGGAGGACTAGAAGTACCGGTGTCCTGGGGCCAGGAGAAGCTCCCTATGTTGGTGACCATGTCACAATGTATACGAAAATTGAATCAGGTTGTATACCTGAAAGGAATATAGTTATATGTGAATTATACCTCAATAAGAAAAACCATAAAACACAAAACCAAAGTCCTGAATCTTGAGCGTGGCCACAGGCTCCCCTGTCTATCCCCAGCCTGCTGCACTCTCAAACAGGCCCAGAGAGATGGCTCATCACCTTCCCACCTTTTCTTCCTGTTTCACAGGCCATTGGAGAGTTCATTTTGGTGGACAAGGATGTGAAGATCAAAAAGAAAGGGAACATCTACAGTCTCAATGAGGGCTATGCCAAGGACTTTGACCCTGCCATCACTGAGTATGTCCAGAGGAAGAAGTTCCCCCCAGTAAGTGAGGGCTCTGGGGGAGGACCCTTGAGCTAAGCAGAACTGTGTTGGTTCATGATTTACCCTGGAGGAAAAAGATGAAGGGACGAAAGCGGTCCATGTCACTCTTTGTCAGTTTCTCTTTGGCAGAATTCAATCAGGATAATAAACCCAGCCAGATGAATGAGTTCATGGCAATAAAACATTTTTTACTTCTGGGGTCCCTGATCCCAGATGGTACAAAATGTGGTTCTCTCACCCAGGCACCTGTTTCATGGCGTCTGATGGATTTCTATCAGTCATCTCAAGACTGAGAGTATCCATCTTGGTATCTCTCTAAAGAGGTTACAATTACTGAATACAAGAGAAGAGATGGCTGTCTGCAGAACTGGCTGTATGTGGGAATATCTTGTCAAACACCATTGAAGGCTGCTCTGTCCTGAGGAGGAAGCCCAAATGTTGTTAGCATGACATTCAGGGCCCTCAGAGCTGGCCCCAGGCTCTCTTTCCCACTTTATCTTCTCTCCTTCCACCTTACCTTAGATTCCCCTCATGTCCCCCAACCCTGTACTCCAGCTGCACCAGGCTCCTCCCCAGGCCCCAGGTAGACAGCATTTGCATCTCTATGTTGCTACTCCTGCCTTAGCTTGTGCATTCCCTCTCCTTCAAGATAACCGCCCCCCCCCACCTTGCCCAGCTTCTTATCTTGGTAAAATCCTTCTCAACCTGCAAGGTCCTGCTAAGTGGTACCATTTTTGTGATGCCTGCCCTAACCCCATGGCCAGAATCAACTGCACACTCCTTAGAGCTTCTGTGGAAAATTTGACCTATTGTAAGATGTATGAAAGGCTGTCTCCTTTATTCCATTTTCTGCTCCTTGGGAACAGAGTTTTCATCACATTTCTAAGCACAGCCCCAAACACACCCCTTGTAGGTGTCCATTCAACAACTGCTGTATTGAATTAGTGTAGAGGACACACAGAGAGCTCCCTCTCTTTGCTGCAATCCTAATTATTGCTGGTCTTAACCTTGCAGGATAACTCAGCCCCCTATGGGTCCAGGTACGTGGGCTCCATGGTTGCCGATGTCCACCGCACCCTGGTCTATGGAGGGATCTTTCTGTACCCAGCTAACAAGAAGAGCCCCAAAGGAAAGGTAAACAAGTCCTCTGAAAAGTGGTCGAGAAGCAGTGGGTTTCATTTGCAGCCCAGGGGTTTGACTTAGGAGAGAAGAAAGGTTATGAGAGCTGTTAGACTCTGTGGGAGGGTGCTAAGGATGTCTGTGGCATATTCTTATCTAGATTAAAGGCTGTCTTGGTTATCAGCTCAAAATGGTTTTTTGAGAGCCTTTCCATTGCTTAAGATAATTAATGGTATTATGGTTAGGAGGGGACTAAAAGTGCTCAGTGCGTCCAGTGGGTACATGGTTTGGCTTGGGCAAAATGATTTCCATTCATAAAGAGAAATGAAACAGTCCAGTCCCATGACCAAGGCAGCAAATCAAATAGAGATATTTTTTTTGATTGCTTTCAAAAGGCATAAAATTTAAATAACTAATAAATCAACATTTGCTGCTTGGAAAATCATACCTTTCTAGGGGAAAAAAAAAGACTCTTTGGGGAAATCTAGAGCTTTCAAGTAAACTGTTCCCACTGACCACACCAGACTAATGCCCACAGCATTCGTGCAAGCCATGGGGTGGCTATGCTGGCTAAGGGGCACCCCACTTTTCTTCTACACAGAGAGGGACAGTGTGTTTCCTTCCCTGATATTATCCTTTTGTTTTTTCCCAACAGACAGACTATCTTTCTTTTCCAACATGAAAGAAGGAATAGGAACAATAATTCCCTGAAGTTAGTTAGAAATCTGTATATTCAGACATGTTCAGATCTCTGTTTATGGCATATGGTGTCCATTTCACTGAAGGCATTCTTATTTACTTAGAACACCACTCTTGCCATAGCCACCTCAGGCATCCCAATCTATGTGATTGGCCTGCTTTATAGCACTTTTCTCTAATGTCCCCCAAATTGTTCCTTAACACAAATGCTGACGTTCCTTTTTTTTTTTAAGTTTTGCAGATCTGGCCATGACACCTGTATGGAAATAGAGTCAGGAAACACCTGCAAAAAGCTGTCTGCTCAGTAGGCAGACTGCATGAAAATATATACAATAAAAAAGTTAATATTTAAAAGTAAATGCCAAGGCGTATAATATACTAAATCCCAACCCTCAAGCCTTAGGAGAATTGTAAAAGGAATGTGTATAGAGTTGCAAACAATATTATACTGTTTGGAGGAGCCAGTCTGCTTTCCACATGTCTGCAGCCAGACACAACCATGGATTTTAAAAATGCTTTTAGAATAGGCAAAACTCCATCCAAAACACATACAGAATCAATCATTAGGTCCAGTTTCCGTGCTATAAAGAGAAGGGAACCATCACTTCTGCCAAAATGTCATTCAGTCCTGAGTCCAGGTGGTCTGTCTCACATTTGCATTAAGCAATCTATTCCTGCCTCTGGCTTGATGAATGGCTTAATTTAACCAAATGACTAAATTAACCATTTGGCCTTATATGCATCCTTGGTGTGTGGGAGAGGGGGGCAGGTTTACAACTTTATAGAAGGAAAGGGAGAGTATCAGTTACCTTGAAAACTTCTACCTGCTCTGCACCATTTTGCTATGGAGTAAATCCCTTTTCTCTGTAATACCTTCTGGTGTGAAGACACTGTTCTCGGCTCTTGTTTTTCAGCTGAGACTACTCTACGAAGGTAACCCAATGGCTTACATCATGGAGAGGGCTGGAGGATTGGCTACCACTGGGAAGGAAGCTATATTGGACATCGTTCCCACTGACATCCACCAGAGGGCGCCAATCATCTTAGGGTCCCCTGAAGATGTGACTGAATACTTGGAGATATGCAAGAAGCATGCTGCCAAGTGAAGAGCTGACCTTGCGCACACCAAAAAGAATTGCCTTTTATCTGGACCTTTTATCTCACATGGCACTACCCTATTCTGACTATGCATTATACATTCCTAGACAGCAGAAATAAAAAGCATGGATATTTTTCACCATCAAATGCTGTGTAATGCCTGGTGCTGCCTAACCAAAATGCTATCTATATAATGCCACTGATGGTCAAGATATAGTTTGAATAGATAGAGGAGAAATAAACATATTATTCCTATTTCTAAAAAAATAAAAGTCGTCAATGCTTTGTGTTAAATACTAGTAATAGTACTAATAACAGTTAATGCATATAACATTAGATAACTCACTTAATCTTCACAGCAACCTTATGAATTAGATACTATGAATAACCCATTTCACAGATGATAAAATCGAGGACAGAGAGATGAGGTAATCTGTCCAAGGTCTCCAGCTAATGAGTGACAGAGCTCAGATACGAACCCAGGCAAGCTGGCCGCTAAGCTGAGTTAGCGTATCACTTCTATGTGTTGTCCATTCAGGTCTGGGTGTGCAGAACTAACCTGAGTAAGGCTGTTTATGCCCTCCTGGGAACTGGAGAGGTGACAAGTTAATGGTGGAGCCATCTATTAACTCTTGGCCTTCCAAACATAGGTATAATCATCTGGGTCACAAATGAAGGTTTATGTTATTAGTGGTGACTTTTTAAATAAAAACACAACACTTTACTGAGCTAACAAAGCCTAATAATTTCTATGGTCTAATTCCAGAAGGAAAAAGATTCATCATAAAAACAAAATGTAAGGAAATAGATTATTATTGCAAGTAAGTGTATTTCTTACTAGGCTCTCTGTATAAACAGTTTCTCCCTTAGGTGACCATGGTTCTTTCTGGACTAGAATTTCCAAGATCATGGCAAGTTAATTATATCAGGCATTAAGAAACATCTGTGGCCTTTCTTTTTTTCAAATACATTTTCTTAGGGGGGCTATTTTTATTTTTTTTAATTGGGGAATTGGAGGGATGGGAACAGCGCTGGGGAATTGGGGGAAGGGGAACAGACAAGTTGCTGTCGTTTTGTTCTTCGGTCTAGTTGTGGAGGACGTTGCTTCACTGGCCCAAGTTGGCACCATCATTGCGCTCTTCCCAGGTGAGGCAGATCAGTCGCTGGCTTCTGGACAGC